CTCACGCTTGTAATCCCAGCACTTTGGGAGGCCGAGGTGGGCGGATCACGAGGTCAAGAGATCGAGACCATCCTGGCCAACATGGTGAAACCCTGTCTCTACTAAAAATACAAAAATTAGCCAGGCGTGGTGGCAAGCGCCTGTGGTCCCAGCTACTCAGGAGGCTGAGGCGGAAGAATCACTTGAACCCAGGAGGCAGAGGTTGCAGTGAGCTGAGATTGTGCCACTGCACTCCAGCCTGGTGACTGAGCAAGACTCTGTCTCAAAAAAAAAAAAAGAAAAAGAAAAAAAGAAATAGGATCTCCTACCTCCCCATTCATGGTCCTGACATGCTAATTAGAGCTTAATTATTTTGATGTAGGGTGGACTCTTACTGTCAGATCAATTCCATAGAAGCTGGTGGCTCCCATATTCTTATGGAAAACGTGTTTATTATTACAGTCACCTTCTGGAAGGTTCCAAGTCAACAGGCAGGACAACATTGTTTCTCAGCTTTGGGGTCAGAGAGGTCTGGGTTTGAGCCTTAGTTTGCTCATCTGTACAGTGAGGGCATAAGAATCCTCATCTCACAGACTGGCTGCCAGGATGAAGTGAGATCAGGCCCAGGCACCTAGCTAACATTCTTTGAGTGCTTACGATTCTAACTGGCCTCGCCACAGCCTTCTTCATTCATTGAATGTGCATTTGCACATTTTCCACATCTCAGGCACCCTTCTAGCACTGAGGACATAGAGATAAACAAGACGGGCTTGGTGCTTTCATGGAACTGACATTGTAGACAGGGAAGATGAACAATAAGCAAGTCAACAAGATAAGTTCACATGTGAGAGGGCTCTGAGGAAAAGGAAGCTAGGGGAGGCAATAGCTAGTGACCAGACAGGCAGGGGAGGTGGCATTTGGGATGAGGTGGTCAGGGGAGCCTTCTGAGGAGGTGACCTTGGGGTGGAGGCCTGAATGAGGAGGAGGCAGCTGCATGATGACATAGGAAGATTGGAAGAGGCCATGGTGTAGTCAGGGAAGAGGCCCTGTGAGGTGAAGCCGCTTGGCTGAGGGTGGTGAGTCGGGCTGAGCTAACAAGGTTGCTGGGATCTGCAACCCCACAATGAGGAGGTTGGAACCCTAGGAGGTAGCTGTCCACCCTGACCTCTGGCTCTCTCCATCATTCCCTCCACTAGCCTGTCCTCTCCTGGAGTCAGGTCTTTGAGACACATGAGCACACACACACATACCCACAGACACACACACATGGCATGCACACAGACCCTTCAGTAGGATGCGCCAGGCCAGGCGCAGTGGCTCATGCCTGTAATCTCAGCACTTTGGGAGGCCGAGGCGGGTGAATCACTTGAGGCCAGGAGTTTGAGACCAGCTTGGCCAATGTGGTGAAACCCCGTCTCTTAAAAAAAA